ACATCACCCACCTCTGTCACACCGTCCACCTCTGTCTATCACACCACCCACCTCTGTCACTCCGTCCACCTCTGTCTCTCACACCGCCCACCTCTGTCTCACCGACCCCATCTGCCTCACCGTCCTCCTCTGTCTATCTCACCCCCCCCCTCTGTCCCCCCGCCTCCCTCTGTCCCCCCGCCTCCCTCTGTCCCCCCGCCTCCCTCTGTCCCCCCGCCTCCCTCTGTCCCCCCGCCTCCCTCTGTCCCCCCGCCTCCCTCTGTCCCCCCGCCTCCCTCTGTCCCCCCGCCTCCCTCTGTCCCCCCGCCTCCCTCTGTCCCCCCGCCTCCCTCTGTCCCCCCGCCTCCCTCTGTCCCCCCGCCTCCCTCTGTCCCCCCGCCTCCCTCTGTCCCCCCGCCTCCCTCTGTCCCCCCGCCTCCCTCTGTCCCCCCGCCTCCCTCTGTCCCCCCGCCTCCCTCTGTCCCCCCGCCTCCCTCTGTCCCCCCGCCTCCCTCTGTCCCCCCGCCTCCCTCTGTCCCCCCGCCTCCCTCTGTCCCCCCGCCTCCCTCTGTCCCCCCGCCTCCCTCTGTCCCCCCGCCTCCCTCTGTCCCCCCGCCTCCCTCTGTCCCCCCGCCTCCCTCTGTCCCCCCGCCTCCCTCTGTCCCCCCGCCTCCCTCTGTCCCCCCGCCTCCCTCTGTCCCCCCGCCTCCCTCTGTCCCCCCGCCCACCTCTGTCTATCACACCACCCACCTTTGTCACACCGTCCACCTCTGTCACACCGTCTACCTCTGTCACACCACCCACCTCTGTCAAACTGTCCACCTCTGTCACACCGTCCACCTCTGTCTATCACACCACCCACCTTTGTCACACTGTCCACCTCTGTCACATCACCCACCTCTGTCACACCATCCACCTCTGTCACACCGTCCACCTCTGTCACACCGCCCACCTCTGTCTATCACACCACCCACCTCTGTCACACTGTCCACCTCTGTCACACCGTCGACCTCTATCACACCATCCACCTCTGTCACACTGTCTACCTCTGTCACACCGTCCACCTTTTCTACTCAAAAGCTTTGCAAGACTGAACTACTGCCTTATATGAGTATCAGAAAGTCAATCTGCAGTTTAAATAATCCCATAAATTTTAACTTAGCTAAGAAAAAAAAGTGTCTAAAAAGTGAAATGTCCTCTTATTTGTAGAAGATTCTTATACGTGCAGTTAAGCCAGTACTGGTTTTGTGATCACCTTAGCCCGAGTTCAGTGACCTGAACACACCACAACATGTTCTGGTCTGCTCCATCCCTCAAAAGGCTGTAGCTGAGCCACACTAGACGTGTGTCCCCACCAAGTCCATCACTGAGGGCAATCACGTCTTCAAGGCAGCAAGCGGCACTGTGATCCCCCCATCCTGCTTAACCCCGTTTCCAAGTCTTCTAATGCCCCCTCCTCACTCTCTCCTTTCTTTTCTTCCTGCTCTTATACTTTTCTACTGCAGTTCCGTTCCTCTCTCTCCTCTCTGTCTGCCTTCTGCCCCTTCACTCCAGTCTCCTAACATTGCTTTACCTTTCCAATCAACATCTGCCACCACGCCTCTGGATACAGTGGGGGGTAGGGAGAAAAATAATTCCAGAAGAAAGGCAGATAATTGCAAGTGTTTTGATATACAGAATGAGAAGGCATGGAGAGGCTGAAAGGTCTTGTCTGAGGGAGGCTTGGAAGAAAAAGGGACTCCAAAGTCCTTCTTAGGGCCTTTGCTAAGATATCTAGGAGCAGCCTTGGCTTGGCGACCTGAGGGAAGCAGACACCCACAACCAGGCCCTCTGCAAAGCTTCGTTAATGCTCCCTCCTCTGAGGGCAAAGTTTCTAAACAAATGCCTTGCAGGGCCAAGACTCATTTCCAAAGCTATAGTCATTGGATCCCAGCTATTTTGATTCCAGGGTACCCAGTTCCTCTGAAGTGGTCATTTTTGTATTGACTGGGAAAAATCTGTCCTGAGGAAGGGCGACAATGGTAGGGATTGGACACAATGCCTCTTCTTTGTCCAATGAAAAATTAAGAATTTACATTCCTCTGATCAAATCTTCATTTAAAAACTTCACAATTTTTACTTTGTTTAATTAAATGTTGTGATCCTCTAGTATGGCCAGTAATAATTCTCTGCTTATGAGTAACAATTTACTTTGCAAATAATCAATAAATAATTATAATGTTGATTTTAACTGTTATAAACTTAATTGGACATTATTAAATAATTTCACAAGGTCAAGGCAGAAACAACTCTGATAGAATCACTTCTTTGGCGTTACGATAATCTACCAAAGCTCTTTTTCACATTTTAAAGGCCACTAATTTTGTTACCAACTTATTGTTTAACCATTTGGGGAATGCAAGTATAAACAGTGAAGATTTCCATAGATGTGAACCACTATTACTTTTAAAGTTACTGGCATGGACGACAGGACTCTCTGGTTTACTTTAATAGCAACATTTTTCATGGGATACTCATAATTCAGGAGAAAGTCAATCACTCTGTCTTTTTATGTCTAATGACCTGATGGGTAAATTCTAATAAGCGCTATTCTTACGTCTAGATGCACTGGTGGTAAAGTTAAGTGCTACAGATGCAGACGAAGACAATCACTTGAACTCTAAAATCGCTTACAAGATCATCTCCCAAGAACCCGCAGGTGCACCCATGTTCATGGTGAACAGGTACACTGGAGAAGTCCGCACGATGTCCAATTTCCTTGACAGAGAGGTAAGGGTTTCTAGGAGTGAATGATAAGAAATAAAGAATTATTTTTATTTTATTTATTATTTTTATTTTATGTGTATGTGTGTATTGTCTGTGTGTAGGAAAGTGCATCCATGTCATGAAATGTCCACAGAGGTCAGAAGAGGCTGTCGGATCCCCTGGGACTGGAGTTATGGACAGTTGTTAGCTGCCATGTGGGTGCTGGGATTCGAACCTGGGTCTTCTGCAAGAACAACCAGTGTTCTTAACTGCTGAGCCATCTCTCCAGCCCTGAGAAATAAAGAATTCTTAAGGCCTATCAACTCTAATTTCTGTTCCCCAAATGCTCTTGGGTGTGGTTCCATCATACCTTGGAGCCTGCCCAAGCTACCCAGCATCACAGTCTTAAAGAAAACTGACTCTCCCTCTCCCAGCAGCTATCAATTGCCAATCGGTCAGGACTGGGGCTTCTTGCCCACTTCCCCCTTCCGTGCTGTGTTGTCTGACTTGGGCTTGTGCAGGTCTTGTGTAAAGCTGTCACAAGTGTTGTTCATTCACATGTGGATCAGAGATGAGATGGGGAGGAGGGTCTGAATGTGATTAAAATATACTGATGAAATTTTCCAAAGAATCAATAAAAATGTTATTGAAAAAAAGAAACAAAGAATTCAGCTTTGAAAGACAAAGATGAGGTGATTGGTGGAAGCCTGTAGTCCAATAATGGAGGCAAGGAGAACACACCAATCATCTTTAACGAAATCTAAAAGATCAAGGATAGTTATTTCATCTGATGTATCTATAAGGAAGACAAAGAATGGTACTGGGTTGTGCTGGATTCTATTCAGAACAAGACCTAAGTCTCATGATTCTCTTTAATCCTAATTAAGCAACACAGCATGTACAACCTACTGGTAAGGGGTTCGGATCGAGACGGAGCCACAGACGGGCTATCCTCCGAATGCGACTGCAGAATCAAGGTTTTAGACGTCAACGATAATTTCCCCATCTTGGAGAAAACTTCGGTAAGTTGTTATTCTTAGGCCCTTTTTCCCATGTTGGTAATCAGTTTGCATTCCTGTAGTTGGAGAGCCTGACTCTGGCATGTGTGTGGTTGGACAGCTCTGTTATATAAACCTTGGGGTTTCTCATATATAATAATAGTCCTGTACATTTACCTTTGACTCTATTCCAAACAAACCTCTGTAAGAGCAAGGATATCTACTGCATATACTCTTCTCACAGAAATGTGGAAAATCTGTCCATCTAACAAAACAATAATGACATTTTTGATGGGCCTCTGGATTTGCTGACCCACAGTCCCAGCATTCTCAACTTTCATCTCATAAAGAATCACCAAATCCAGTGGGGCTAGAGCTCCACTGACCGACAGAGTGCTTGCCCAGTGGGCATGAAGCCCTGGCTTTGATCCGCAGCACTACACAAAACAGAAACGCCACGTGCCTAGAATCCCAGCACTTGAGAGCTAAAAGTAACAGGTTCTCAAATCCAAGGTCATCCTCAGCCACCTAGCAAATCCATTGCTAGCCTGGGCTACTTGAGGCCTTGACTCAAAATAAAATCACAGTCTCCAAAATATCAGGGACAAGACTGGCTTGCCACCTGTTCGAGTAAAAACACATCTTCTTGGTCACTGGATTGGTTCCGTCTCTGGCTCCTCTCTGCCGGGCCAGCAAAGGTAAGCAGCTGTGATGGAGATGTTCTGGGCCCACAAAGCCTAGTGTATTTCCTATTTAGCTATTCACAAAATTTTGAAAATCTGATTTCTTATTTAAAAGAGGAAGGTAAATTAAAGATAAGCAAGAAAGGGGTCTGGAGAGATGGCTCCATGGTTAAGAACACTGGCTGCTCTTGCAGAAGACCCAGATTCTAATCCCAGCAGCCGTGTGGTGGCTAACAACTGTCTGTAACTCCAGTTCCAGGGGATCTGACAGCCTCTTCTGTCCTCTGTGGGTACTGCATGGCATGAGTGCACTTACATGCATGCAGGCATAACACTCAAACACATAAAATAAAAATACGGAAAAAATTTTAAAGAAAACAAAAGATAAGCAAGAAAAACGTACCAGTGGGATATTGATTTCACATGTGGCATATGGAAACCAATTTTATCATCTTATAACATTTCACTCTTATATTTCTGATTGAATATATGCCATTTAACATTGGTACAAAAATTACTGGCATAGTTTGTCATATTTTTCAGAGTAATTATATATTAGTAAATATCTTTCTTTGAAAATTCATGCTATTAAAAATCTTGACCTTTGCCATTTCAGTACTCAGCAAGTATTGAAGAGAATTGTTTGAGCTCAGAACTGATACGATTACAAGCAATTGATCTTGATGAAGAAGGCACAGACAACTGGTTGGCCAAATATTTAATCCTCTCTGGTAATGACGGGAACTGGTTCGAAATTCAAACAGATCCACAAACCAACGAGGGCATTTTGAAAGTCGTCAAGGTGAGCATGGAATCTGAACTTTCCTCCTAAGACACTTTATGTGCTTCTCAGATTCTGCCTTCAAAACAGTTCTTCAGACCTGAATTTTTTATGTCCACAAGTTTTCTATACTGCGACAGAACGAGCCTTCTAGCCTAGCAACACCGCATTTATTACCAAGAAACAGGCTTTGTTCCCCTCATGATCAATATGTCACTGAGAAACTAAAGGAAATAGTCCCAGATTAAATAATGTGTCCATTAGTAATACAATAGTGTTAAAACATATGATGTAAAACCTCATCACTGAGCAGATGAGACATGAAATGTTGGTGGAGTAAGAGGAGGTGGGGTCCTTATGAAGGAGGTCTGTCTGAAAAGTCTCCATGTAGGGGATAAGGAATACAGAAGATCCTCTAAGCCAAGGTGGCTGATGTGACCATCAAAAGGGGAAACCTAATCTTTATTATGTAACTAAAATACCAGCCATTGTACCTTAAAAGATACACAGCAAGGCTTTACACATATTCCTTCATCTAACCCTCCTGACTCTAGGAAGATAATACAGTGATTACTTTCTACAGAAAGTAAAACAAAATGAAAAAAGCTGACTTGTCTCAGCTTGAGTGGCAAATGACAGAGAGAGAGACAACATCCAGTCAGCTCCGTAGAGCCCAAAGGCCTATGGAACTGCCACCTCTATGCTCCAGAGATGGAAAACCAGATTTCAGGAAAGAACCAGTATTCTGAGATTTTTCCTATATAAACTCCTTCTCGTGTGTGTGTGTGTGTGTGTGTGTGTGTGTGTGTGTGTGCGCGCGCGCGCATGGCCTCCATAAATATATTTGTACCAGAAAATGCCCTTTCCTAAGAAGCAGAGTGCATACACTCTGACAGAAGTGACCCAGTGCCCCTTAGAACTAGCAAGATCCCATCAAATTAGATTTTGAAAAGAAAAATGATAAGGGTATCTGATGAGCTTAGTTTATGGATCCCTCCAGAAGCCTACCCCTTTTCTGAAGTGATTACCCTCCCGTGCCCAGTTCTAGACCTCCACTCTAGCACACATCAATCTACACATCCTTAAGTGGTTATTCTTGTCTTACACAATAGGGTTCACATTCTCCCAGCTTCCCCATTCACTCCAAGAAGGGACACTACGATCAACATGTCTTTCTTGCTCTTTGCAAACCCAGGATTTCTAGACACAATCGGAAAACCCTGTATTGGAGGCCCCACTTGAAAAAGCATAAATGTACCTTTCCTTCTTTTCCTTGGCCTTGCACTCTCTCCTACTAAAGGGAAAATTGGCCCTCAATCGGCCTTCTGTGCCTAGAGTTCAAATTTCCACGTTTGTTATAAACTGACACACACAGTAGTATATTTTCATCACAGGTTCTTTGATAAGGGAGAGAACTATTCTGACACAGCGCATTTTTATCCACATAAGAAAATACTGATTTATTTCTCTATCAGAATACGTGTTATCAGATTTTACATTTATTTGAAGACAGCATGTGTAACAATTTGCTTCTCTGTTACTGTGATGACATATTGACCAAAAGCAACTCGATAAGGAAAGGGAATTTAGGTTACGTTTGCAGTTACAGCCCATCACTGAGGGAAGCCAAGATAGGAGCTCAAAGCAGGAGCTTGAGACAAACTGCAGGAGCATTGCTTACTGGCTGGCTCCCAGGCTCATGTTCAGCTGGTTTTTTAATACAGCTTAAGCCAATGTGTGTAGGGATGGTACCTCCTGCAGAGGGCCAGGCCCTCCAACATTAGTTACAATCAAGAAAACGCCCCACAGACACACCCACAGGCCAATCTGATAGAAGAAATTCTTCAACTGAGAGTCCCTCTTCCTAGATTTGTCAACTTGACAACCAGGATCACAGCACGGAATTCCAGAAAATGAAAACTGAGTAGTGGGAAAAGGATCTCTTTCCAATGAAAATTCACCTTCAAGTGCTTAAGTCATCTTTAGGACTGTGGTGGGCATCCTGGGTACCATCCATTGTGGGCCCTGCTGGACTAGACAGTACAGCTATCAAAATGTCAAATTGGGGGGTTTTACCTACAATCTAAGTGAGGTAGGCAGACTCATCTCCAAACAAAAAAACAAGTAAATTCCTTGGGAATATTTCCATCATTTTAGTTTTTCTGGAAATTTAACTCTAAAACCTTAGGAGATGCTTGTGGTGTTGCAGATATCTTTACCTCAAGTGTTGGCAAAAATGTGCTGCAAATGTTACTTCCTTCAGTTTCCAGAACAGCTCTAGACAGACACTCCCCAGCACTCCTTTTTTTAACGACCTTTACACTTGTGACTTTTCATGTCCCCACATCAATCACTCTGGATCAAAGGATTCCATTCACCTTTTATCTGGAAAACCCAGTTCAAAGGTGACTTTTCTCAGGGTGTGGCATTTATTTGAGTAAGTTCTATAAAAGAGTCTTCTTGTCCACCAGATCCAGTGCAATTAAATTACAGTGTGGAGCTGATTCTAATAGTCACAAACTCCTTGGAACTGTTTGCATCATTTTAAATAATTACATGTTTATTTATATTGTACATATCGCCTCTTTTATTTTGCCATTGCTACTTTGAAGAGATTCTCAGATGTGGATTTCACAAAGGAAGCCTGGGTCCTAATTACTCATTCAACCATTGAAGATGATTTTTTTTTAATTTTATTTATTTATTTTTATTTTTATGTGTATGTGTGTATTGCCTGCATGTAGGTAGTAAGTGCACCCATGTCATGCAATGCCCGCGGAGATCAGAAGAGGCTGTCGGATCCCCTGGGACTGGAGTTACGGACAGTTGTTAGCTGCCATGTGGGTGCTGGAATTCAAACCTGGGTCTTCTGCAAGAACAACCAGTGTTCTTAACTGCTGAGCCATCTCTCCAGCCCCTGCAATGATTTTTAATCCATTCTAAATTTACTTTTTATTTTTCATGAAAAGTTCATTTAGAAAGAAATACCATTTTCCACTTTAAGGCTTTTGTGTAAAATATTGAAAACTCCCAAGTACAATCCCAATTTAAAGCCACAGGCACAGGGACTGGAGATGCCACTCAGGGGCAGAGTGGCTGCCTAGCATGTGCAAGGTCCTGGGTCCTAGTCCCAGCATTACAAGAAACAAATAGGAAAAAAACGAATAACAAATACTAAATGACCTACATATGCAAACAGTTTAAGACAGTCTTAGGTATTAAGAAACACCTAAGGCAGCAATAACTAATATTATTCCAATTTAAAATCTGAATTGCAAAGCTCCCAGACTTAGAGCTAGTGTGTGACTTCTTCATCTTGATTTCTTATTGTATCAAAGAGTACTGGGCTGGGGGGATGGCTCAGCTGGTAAAGTGCTTTCCAGAACAGCATGAGGCCCAGAGTTCAGAGTCCCAGAACCCACAAAAAAATCTAGCTAGGCAGAGGCTCACCTGTAAGACAGAGACAGGGTTCCCAGGAACAAGCAGTCTAACCTGGTAAGTCAAAATGTCAGGCTCCAAAGCTAGACATGGTGGCCCATGCCTTTAATCCCAGCACTTGAGAGGCAGAGGCAGCTCTGGGAGATGGAGGCCAAGCCTGGTCTACATAGTGAGTTTCAGCCTAGCTGGGGCTACAGGGAGACCCGGTCTTAAAAACAAAAATCATAATAATAGTAATAATAATGGCAAGCTGCGGTGTTACTACACCAACATTACAATTACCTAAACAACAAGAAAAGCCCAACTCTTAAATTTAGTTTTAAGAGTGGGCCCGAACTCAAAGGACACTCATTCCTTTAGATCTCTTAGATCCATCTGTCTCCTGGAACTGCGCTGATGGAATGGTCTTGCTGAAACTCTGTCCCTGGAACTATGTCCCAAGTCCAGCCCCACCTATAATTTTATTCAAAATTATTTCTCCAGCTTCAACAGAAGTACAAGATTGATTCCACCCTAATCTTAACAGATCATGAGGCTTTTTCTAGAATAGCTCATTCATCCAAGGTCAACAATCCTTCCCAACTTCCACTGCCTTTCAGCTTTGATATGTTAATTCCCAAGCAGACCCTTATTCATTCATTTATTTACTATCTTTTGGGATGGAGTACCAAATTGAGGTTGCCTAGGAAACTAGATCAGGTGCTCAGGTCACAAGACACAAAAGCACAGGGTTTTGCTGGGGTTAATTCAAAGTCATTAGTCCAGATTACGTCCATTTATAAAAGTCTTTTCCCACAGCAAGCTTCAGGTTCAGGGAGAGACCTTGTCTCAAAATATAAGGTGGAGGGAGAGCTATCAAAAAAAACACCAACATTAACCTCAGTCCTCCACTTGCACACATACACATATATCTGCCTTCAGCCATGAAAACACACACATACTATATACATATATATATACACACACAAGTGTACACACCACACACATACCCTCTTCTCAAAGAAAAATCTCCTTTGCTATTTCAAAACTGACTTCTTTGTCTTTCCATCATTTCAGATGCTGGATTATGAACAAGTGCCTAATATTTACCTCAGCATTGGAGTTAAAAACCAAGCTGAATTTCACCCCTCAGTTGCTTCTCAATTCCAAATGCACTCAACCCCTGTGAGAATTCAGGTTGTTAATGTGAGGGAAGGACCCACGTTTCAACCAAGTTCCAAGACTTTTAGCTTACGAGAAGGAATAAGAGGAGATTCCTTAATGAACTATGTGTTGGGAACATACACAGCCATCGATACGGACACTGGAAATCCTGCAACAAATGTCAGGTAGGCAAAGCTCTGCTCATTGGAGTGTGGGAGATCTGGCCTGTGTTCACTCATACAATGTGCTTGGATATGTTGGCTGTAACACTTTGGGTTTTGTTTGCCTCTTACTTGTTTTAGGGGACCAGAACAGCTTTTGAAATTCTCTTGGAATTTTAATAGTGTTTTAGTGACTGTAAGAGCTCCGGTTGGTTAAAGAGTAGGTGCATCCAGGAAGAATGGCGAGATTAAAGGGCCACAAAAGTTGCTATGAGTCTTTGATCCTTTGTGCCCTGCTATACAACCCTGAACTACAGCTGATTAAGCCGTATTGTAGCCAGTAACACACCATAAAAAAAAATGAGTCAGTGCCTGTTTTCGTAAAACCTGTGGCTATCTTTGAGATGAGTTTCAACCCTCTGCTTGACTAAAAGGAAAAAAAATAGTGGAAGCAGCTAAAATATGGGTTATTTCAGAAATCTGATAAATAGGAGTCAAAACTCAGGAGACAGAAGAAAAAGGGGCACTGGGGACAGAGATGCACACAGACTAGAACTATGCAGAGTATTCCAGAAACAACCACAGTGAATTAGACAGATTTTTCTCTATCCCTTCTCCTTTTTCCTTCTCTTCCTCTCAATATTTTGAGAGTGAACAAAGTCTGTCAGTTCAATGACTTAATCACATACAAGTTGACAGACTCAGGAAATGTTCATATGAGGAAAAAGAAAAAGATCAAACAGATGAAATGAATTGAAATTGTGCCTGACAGAGATCAAGTCCTTTGGGCCCATTATTAGTGACAAGATCCAGATGGTGAGGCTGACGGGGGCTGCGGAAGTCCCTTGTGTGCCAGCAAGGAGATGCCCTGAAACCAGTGTGCCCTGAATCTAGAGCCAGCGTGCTGAGTGGCCACATGTGGAAATTAGTAAATAGTATTTGTTTTTCAAGATAAATATAGGTTTCTGGCTGTGGTGGCACATACCTTTAGTCCCACCCCTCAGGAGGCAGAGGCAGGCAGATGCCACAGAGATCAAGGCCAGCCTGGTCTACATAATGAGTTCCAGGCCTGTCGGGGCTATAAGAAAACTTTGTCTCAAAAAAGCAAAAAATAAATTAATTAATAAATAAAATAAATATAGGTATTTGATATAATTCAATATTGTGATTTAATAAGTAGGCCTAGAAAAATTTATACATTTCACTATAAATCTAAAATTTAGAGAAGTAAAAGTAATGAAATTTTGTTGTGAACCTGTATATTTATATACTTAATACTGGAATCTTACTGGTATATTCTAGATACTTATTGATATATATAGTAATACATAACATA